ACCGCTTAGAGAGGCCTGAAAGGCCTATGAAGCGGTATATAAGTCTATTGCTATTGCTATTTCTATTTTTGCCCTCCACAGCCGCCAGGAGCACTCTGGAAGGCTATGCATGGCCATTTTGATGAAGGGGGGGAGGCAAAACTGCTGTATTCAGTGTATAAGATGCACTCAGATTTTCACCCTCTTTTGAGGGAAAAAGGTGCGTCTTATACTCCAAAATATGGTAATTTTGTTCTTCAGTAAAATATTTCTCTACCTTGGTAAATAAGAAAAAACAACACTGATTCTTTCTAGCTACAGTCATTGCTTTAGTAGATAGTAGGGTATCAGTAAACCATTACAAGGTTTACATTTATCAGTTGTTTAATTGCCCATAGCAATTAACTATTATTTATTAACCACTGATTATTAAGGTACTTAGGTCCAGCAACCAAGGTGCTGGGTTAGACAGCAAGACATGAATTTTAGTCCTCTCTTAAGCAGGAAAGAGAGCTGAGTGATTTTGAGTTAGTCACACTCTCTTAGCTTCACAGGGCTGTTGTTGTGGGGGGGAGGAAAGAGGAGGAGGAATATGCTTGTCACCTTGAGCTACTTATAAAGTAATAAAGGGAGGATAAAAACCTAATAAATAAGCCAAGGGGAAGTACAAGTCACTAAGTATTGTGTTATAAATAGCTGTGCTGGTTAATGACCGCAATAAAAATCTTCATTACAATAAATAGCATGAGCACCATCGACCTTAGTGATACTTCCTTAAAGTGGTATTTTAAAAGATTGCACTCTGTGTTTCCTTTATGTGCTTCAAGAGGGGCACACCTATTGTAAAGGTTCATAGCTTACTAAGTTCCACATGAATTAGAACTTGAATTTAGTAGAGTTTACTTATATGTTTTTCCTTCTGCCTATTCCTTTCAATAACAAACTAGTATGAGTTTTCCAATGTTTGATAAAATTAAATAACAGATCCTGCATTTGCTGACTATTGATAAGATTAAATAATACATAAATACATACTAACTTTAATTTTTAAATTTAAGTTATGCTGCTCATCTGTGGAGCTCTTGTAAATGGTCCATATGCATTGATCACAACAGCTGTCTCTGCTGACCTGGTGAGTCCTTTTCTGTTCTGTATGCAGCATATTATCTGCTACAGTATTTTTGTTGTATTGTTTTTAATAAATACATATAAAAATTCAGAACACAAATTCTAGAGGAGGAGGAAAATATATTGTATGTTAGTGATATTCAGTAGCAATATTATAATTACATTTTTTCAGTGTTACATCAAATAATGTGAGAAAGATTTACAATACACGTAAGATGAAGATTATCACTGTCTTTCTTCTCTGTATTTAATTATTTCTATCTAAATATTTTGTTTTTAAAGGGTACCCATAAAAGTCTTCATGGAAATGCAAAAGCTGTCTCAACTGTTACAGCCATCATTGACGGAACAGGCTCCGTAGGTATGATATCCTCCTCAAGAACAAAAGGCTGAAAAGTTTGATAAGAAACTCTTGACTGGCCTTTCCCAGTCTGATCCTCTCCAGATTTGGGGAATGTTCAATCAGTGTGAGAATTACTTTTTTAAAAGGTTGCAGTAGGGATGCGCCCTATGCCTATGTGCATCAGTTATAAATCATCATCCTTTTTCAATGGTGAAGGTACACAAACACATACACATACACACACTATAGTGCAGTGCAGTGGTAGAATCCTTATGCAAATATGTTAGTTAAATTGACATTTCAATAAAAACTTGGTAAGTATGACAAGACCCCAAGTTGTGAATCTTGAAAAATGGTGCTCTGCTTGCACTCCTATAACACCAACTACAACCCAGTGAAGTGAATGTCACAAGAGGACTAGCTTACCATCAGCCCTCTGATTCCGCTGATGATTTGCACATGGAAATGGGTGAGGATAGGAAGAAAAATGGGCTGGATTTGTTGTCATTCAGAACAGCTTGCAAATTCAGTTGTGAGTTTTCAAACTCATTCTGAAGTATTATGTGCCTCAGGTCCTGCACTGTATTTAATGTATGTGCATGGTATTTTAGGTGCAGCATTGGGACCATTGTTAGCTGGTCTTCTTTCTTCATCTGGTTGGAACAATGTCTTTTACATGCTGATGATAGCAGATGCCTGTGCCTTACTGGTAAGTCATACTGTACCGTACTGCTCTTCCCTTATTTGTTGAAACATGGTATAATCAATTATTAATGCTTCTGCATAAACTTCTGCAGTGTGGGCACTTTACCCAAAGGAGCATTTGGATACATGCTGGGCTATTTGTACTGCAATTTCTGTATGCTTGTTAAAATATTTTTACTGGAAAGAGAGGATACGTTTATTTAAATAAGTTTCACCAGTAGATGTCATAGCATAATTTATATGTTAGCTAACAGTAACATTCATGAACATATCATTAAAAAAGGGATATTTAAAAATATGTTCTTCAAATAGCATCACAGAGATTATTCCTACAGTACTAAAATATAAGGGGCAGTTTTATGTAGTGGCTAAGGCACAGTCTAGAAACCAGAAGATCATGAATTTTAGGCCCTCCTTAGGCACAAAACCAGTTGTGTGACCGTGGGTTATTCACTCTTGCTCAGTTCTAGGAAGCAGACAAGGGCAAACAACTTTTGGAAAACTTGCGAAGAAAACCACAGAGACTAAACCAGGCAATTTCCAGGAGACAAAAACTAGCTTGCAGGCACACACAACAGCAACTAAAACAATTCTATGATAATCTAATTCTTCCTTATGGCCTGAAATAAATTTCCACAAGGGAGAGCTCTTTGCATAAGTTAATGACTGCTGCAAGACCACATATTATAAAGATTCACAATTACATGGTAGTGATTTTAGGCTGCTATATTGTTAGGCCCTAGTTTTATTCTTACTGAATTTACTGAAATAATTCTGGAATTTGTTCTAAATTTCTCCACTTTGGTCAGAAGGAGATAAACCTAAAATATCATACATCAATGAGTTACTAGTAATCTGAATGTGCTGTCACTTCCGCACACTCCCAGGCGGTCAAATGCCTTGCTTTAAAGATTGAAATGAAAAATTGGTGTTCTCTTAAAATTCAGCAAATCACTATTTAGATAAAGAATTGATGTCATTAATTTGTTGTTTTTTATTTCTTGTTGCTCTTAATACTTTACATGTAATTATTTTTAAACATTTTTACAGTTTTTACTCCGCCTTATACGAAAGGAACTTCAGTGTAGTCTTGACCAGACCTTGTAAGTTTCTGCATGGTTAAAAAAAATTCTGGCCTATTTATGGTAACATTCATTTTTTATTATGTATTTTTTTCACAGAGCATTGTTACCACTTTTTTCTCTCTTTGTTATTTGGAATTCTGTTTCTCAATCAGAACAGCTTGTAATATATCTTCCACAGAGGCCATACTGGGTACACTGCTGAGAAGTGTATTCAGCCACAAATTTCTCACCTCTTTCACAAAAAGAGGTGTAAAAATGCTGTACATTTTTAAATACTTGCTACAGTTTTCATATAAATAAATTATTTTTATATATTTTTTTCAATCATTTTAACTTTTCTGTATGTAATGCTATTTTAAAGTATCCATATTTGTTTTAAATTTCTGGAGCTATGATTTAAATATATTTTAAATTCCACTGCTATGTTTAACTCAGTAATTGCTAATACTGTACATAAGTAGAATAACAGCTCTCTATTTTGTATGCTCTTTTGTTTAAGAAAAGGCAATTGTAGCCCTACTGTATATAGTACAAGGTGCAAAGCTCCAGAGACTAGTCCTCAACTTACTCTCACAATTCAATCCAAAACTTTCATTGCTAAGCAAAGCAGTTATTCAGTGAGTTTTGCCCCACTTTATGACCTCTTTTTTGCCACAGCTGTTAAGCAAATCACTTCAGTTATTAACTAAGTCATGTGGCCATTAAGTAAATCTGGCTTCCTCCATTGACTTTGTTTGTTGGAAACCAGCTGGGAAGGGTCTAGGACAACTCACCAAGCCATGCAGGATAACTCATCTCAATAAATGTTCCCCACCACTGCTGCTTATTTAATCCACCTAAGTTTCTTTATCACGGCGCTACGGACTGTGGTCGCTTGGAGACATTCCTTAACATGTGCGGGAAGGTTTACGCACATGTTAAGGAATATCCGAGTCCCCCCCCCCCCCGATCTCGATTTGTCCCTACTACCTTGAACCTTTGGACCTTCTTCTGGCCTACAGGAGAGGAGAAGTCGGATTTTCTCCTGTTTACCATCCATTGCCATTGCCGGTTCTCAACCATCTTACCTATCTCCAGACTTTTAGACTTATATTGCACAACTTTTAAGACCTAAGATTTGCGCAAATTGTCCTAGTGTGTAGAGTGTGTGAGTACGTATGTTAATGAATGAGCCCACTTTTTATTAGTTTTTAACTTTTATGCCCTGTTTTTACTGTACCTGCTGTTTTTATAGTTATAGTGGGGTGTGCATGTTAAGTATGGCTGTTTGGTGTATATGAGGGGACTGAGAGTGCAGCCTGGGGCCCCCTCCGCTGAGTGCAGAAGCAGAAGTGGATGGGGGCCCGGAACCGCCTCTCATCCCGGAGTGAATGGGGTGAATGGCCTATTGAGGAAAGTGGGGGCCATGAGTTGGGGAGAGGGGTCTATGGATAGGGAGATGGGCTGGAGCATCCCAGTTACATTTGGGAGAGGCAGGTACAGTGGGAGCTTCAGGGCAGGCCATTACCGGGGAA